TTCACCTGCCGGCCTCTCACCACCAGCTTATGTGCTGTTACACTGAACAAATTAAAATGAAAATGTCCTGTATTGCTGAATTCAGGACATAAAGTGTGAAGAGGTTGTTTTTTTTTGGCAAGACATTTTCCTCTTTAAGGCAGCAGGAAGTGCGAGTGGCTGTGAGTGGCAGGTCACGCAGACAAGACCTCCTCTACGTAGAGAGGAAGGAACTTGGCCCAAGGGGGAGACAGGACTGGCGTCACTGGCTTGGATCTCTCCTTCATGAAGTCAGACAGCTGAGTGAGGACTTGTGGCAGCTCTGTCACTGGACAGGGTGACTCACTCGCTCATAAGTGGGGAGGTTAATAATAGTCATGCATTACAACCGCAGAAGTGAAATCACACAGCTTGAGCAGCTTAAACCTTCCAAATGGCTCAGCTGCAAAGCTAAGACACATCTGACCGCCTTTTCTATCTCTCTTTCAGCTGATACTGTCTTCCTAGTGTAGAAGATATTTCCTGGAAATGTTGCACTGGCATGGACCTGCCTAAGGCATGGCAGGGAAAACCAGGCAGATTTGTTAATACTCCCAAACACTTCACATTATAGATGTAAGGTGAAGACACCAACATTATACTGGGTTTACTGGTAATGTCTCAGTCACAACTGTCCTGTTCCTCTGGATGGGAGTCACACCAAGGGGAGCCAGTACACTTGGCATACAATATTGCTGTACAACGTAACACTTCATAAGCATTTTGACTTGTTTAAAAAAAAAATTAATCTGACAATGTCAGTTGTCTTTATTTTTTTTTGCAAATATACTTCAATAGTAAGGGCCGTCCGGTCCCTGTACAACCGGAGCAGGAGCTTGGTTCGCATCACCGGCAGTAAGTCAGACTTGTTTCCAGTGCATGTTGGACTCTGGCAGGGCTGCCCTTTGTCACCAGTTCTGTTCATTATTTTTATGGACAGAATTTCTAGGTGCAGCCAGGGGCCGGAGGGAGTCCGGTTTGGGGACCTCAGGATCTCATCTCTGCTTTTTGCAGACAACGTTGTCCTGTTGGCCCCATCAGACCAGGACCTCCAGCGTGCACTGGGGCGGTTTGCAGCCGAGTGTGAAGCGGCTGGGATGAGAATCAGCACCTCCAAATCCGAGGCCATGGTTCTCAGTCGGAAAAGGGTGGCTTGTTCCCTTCAGGTTGGTGGAGAGTTCCTGCCTCAAGTGGAGGAGTTCAAGTATCTTGGGGTCTTGTTCA